CACTGTGTGAGCACAGTCCAGCCTGACCCTGGACTGAATGCGTTTCCCGACTGTGGTTTTAAGCTCTCACAACCGCTAGCAAGATGGTTCCTGTTTATACCCATTTTACAGACTTGAGCAGTAAAATGATTTGCTTAGGTTTACCAAGCTAAGCCTGCATTTAAGCAGCTATACCCCTGCTCCAAGTCTGGCCTTTAAAAAGGAGCCTCCCTTCTTTAGAGCAGCGCCAATCTGGGGGCATGGAAATTGCATTATGCCAAGCAGCAGGTGTTGCAGAGAGTGAGAGTGCTTAGAAAGAACAGCACAGTGTCCTAATTACCTGCGGCAAGGAAAACATCTGTGTGGGAAAAGTAATGAAATTAATTCTAAAGTCTAGCGGTTGCCTACATTAATTGACATTAATTAATGCCAAATTACAAGACACCTCCTATGGAATCGCATCATACACTCACCAGAATTGAATATGGAAAGAGTTCATCACACTTAATGCTATTACAGCAAGCCCCAAGGGGAATAAGAGTGATTGGTCCCTCATTATGAAGTGCAGCCAATTTATTTTTTGTTTCCATTAGGAGGGGAACGAGAACAAAGCAGAAGCACTTTACCATGGGCAGGCGGTCGGGAATTGATCGGTTCCCCTTCAGCTTGTAGATTTCACTTTGAGCCTATCCGAGCAAGACATGGTTTCAAGACCTCTTCCTGGAGCTTTTCCTGGGTCCTTTGGTTCTACCTTTTAAAATTCTCGGCACAAGAACAGCTCGTTGAACAGGTCTGCCTCACTGTGTGGCATGGGGAGTGGAGAGGGATAGAACAAGCGAAGGAGCTAGAGACGATTCTCTAATTCTTATGAATAGGATCCCACAAGCCCACCATGACCCTTGGCCGCCTTCCCTGGCTGAGAAGTGCTGACCAGAGATTTGCATGCCAGTTGGTTGTCTGCTTCTCTCATATCACTGCCTCTGTACTAGTGTTGACGTCTCGTATATATCTATTATTCATTTTCCCCATGCAAACATACATATGTAGATATCTATATATACCACTTGCACAAAATCATGTCCATATGCATATATTTTGGTAACCTACTTTTTAAAAATTTTATTTTGGAATAATTTTAGATAAACAGAGAAGTTACCAAGATAGTGCAAGCTTTAACCAGCATCCCTTAATGCGAACATCTTATACAACCATGATCTATTTTTCAAAGCTAAGAAATTAACAGTGATACAACATTATTAGTTGGTAACTATTTTATTATATAAAATGTATTAAGAATTTCTGTAAATCCTCATATAAGGATTCATAACAAGCTATGCATGTTCTACAATCTGTTTAGCTCTGCCTCAACTGTTGGCCATTGTGTTTTCTCTTACCTTTTTAAATTATAAACAACACTATGATGAATATCAAAGTAACTAAATCTTTGCATGGTTCATTGATTATTTCTTCAAGTCAAATTCTCAGAAATGAACTCACAGTCAAAAGAGATTTTAATAAATGTTGATCCTTATTGCCAAATTACCTCATTAAAACATAAACATACAGTTGTTCTTTCTTTCTTCTCTCTCTCTCTTTTTTTGTATATAGGTTTGTCCATTGATAATTTTGAAGCCAAAACATACTTAACAAAAATTGGCCCCAAACTTGCTAGGGTTTTTCATGCAATGTAGTGGGAATAAACCAGACTTGGAGTCTGGCCAACCCAGTTTGAAAATCCATACTGCCCTTTCTATAATCTCCAGGAGCTTCATTCTCTTTACCTGCAAAAATCAGTTGCTAAATTATATGCCATAGTATTGTGACTATTAATTATACCAAATGAATGTGAACATGCTTTAGAATACTTGGCACATAAATGCACAGCAAATATTAGTTTCCCTATTCTTTTAATTTCTCCCCAAATCCCTCAGATTCATAATTTCCATGTAGTTAAGTTATAAATATAAAGAGTTTATTTTTATATTTTCCATCTTATGTTTGTTCAGGGACCTTTGAAGAGAAAATTGAAGTCTTAAGAAAGAAATTATTAGACAACACTACAAATAAAAAAAGCACAGTGTACTCATCAAGAAATCCTCATGAGGTGGCAGTCTTAAGAATTCTAATTGGAAAGCTGTATTTGTAATTTGAAGCCTGAGACTTCCTCAGTCAGAACCTTTAATGCAGATTGTTTTCATTCATTATCTCACGTAACAAGAAGCATGAGAAAGGGCAGCTCTGGGTTCAGTACAGTCAGATGCTCAGTGTTGTCATCAGGGAACGGGCCCTTTCCATCTCTTTGTCACATTCATTATGGAAGCTCAACTGTAAGACTCCTCCATGCTCAGCAAGGCTAGAGAACGTCCAGACATTAGGTTGACACAGTGTTGTGTGGGGGCAGAAGAAGGTCTTCTGCTATGCCTCCTGGTAGCCCCTTATAACTTCTTATTTACTAGAATTGGATTTAAAAGGCCTCTCCTAAAGCAAATGATGGTAGGTGGAGTAGGAAGACTTGAAGTAAACACAGACCCAAGAGAATTATTCCCTGCATATCAGAGCTTCTGAGTGACACGGGAGAAAGATGAGCAACCAGGTCCATATTGGCTTTTCTGGCAAAGAGGTAGGGAGGAATGAGTATTGGACCGGTCACCAATAGTAATCAATAGTGAAATATAACTGGAATACTCAAATTCAGTTTTTTAAAGGACCTACAATGTGCCCCAACATGATCTAATCATTGTGAAAGGTTGCAGAAGGGAAAAATAGGAACATAGTTTTTGTACGACTTCTGAGTTTCAAAACATTTAGCATATATATTATTTCAGTTACTTCTTAGAACCAAATTATGAGATAGTTGACACTGGCATCCTCATTTGAGAAAGGACAGTGATGAGACTCAGGGAGGTGAAGCGGTGTTCTCTGAGCGATGCAACTAGGAAGTGACCACAGCAGAACTCAAACCCAGGTCTCATAGATGCCAGTCTCCTTTTCTGTGATCCTGAGCTGCCTTCTAAAAGGCAGAAGACAACTGAAAGCTCTGCAAGAGTCTGATAGGGTATGGAATGGTGAGGTAAAGATTTTGTGTGCCATGAAGAGAAGTGTTCTGGGAAGAAATGAATCCCAGAAATTCTCTTCAGAGATGAAGATCATGAATTATGTCCTAAAATGAAACTATTAATATAATAATGCCTAAATATTAGGTGGGGAAGGGAGAGTAGAAGTCTTTTCTTTAGTCGTTCTTTGGAGGACTAGATGGGTTAAAATATATACTTGAGAGCTGTTTCCATCCCCACACATGGCAGCAGGATAAAGGAAGACTGGATAAGCTCTGCTCTTTCCCTCTCAGAGCTTATCAGCAACTGTCAGCCATTGGTCAGTTGGAGCAAATGTGCATGTCGCCCCCTAGTGGCACTGCTTGTAGAGTACAGGTTTGCCCAGGTTCTTTAAGTAAAAGGAGTGCTAGGAATTTCCTTCAGGGAAGTCATCAGTGAATCCTTATATCCAACTCACAGTACAGTTGCCTACCCCCATTTCGTGTATATAATCATGTCCTTATTTCCCCACTTGGAAGAGTATATTTCTTCATACATCTTTGTATGTCCTAAAATCAAACTCACCCATTCATTAAACATCAAAAAAAGGTAAAATAATTTCCTTTTTTGTTCAAAAAGATATATTCCAGTAAGGTGGCATGTTCCAAAAAATATTTCTTTATTATGTACTATGTGCTGATTTGATTCATACTTAGATTGTGATAAGTTCCATGAAGGGAATTAGCAGGATGGAGTGTTATTGAAAAGCGATCATAAGAGACCCGCAGAAATAACGGTAAGCTGAAATCTAGAGTTTTTTTAGACAACAACCTGGGCAGATGCCTTTAGGACAGAGGGGATACAAATGTAAAGCCTCTTAAGTGGTAGGAAATTTGGCCAAATTTCTAAACACATTTTAGGTCAGATTAGAAGAATCAGCCGGAGAGAAGAGACGCATGAGGGGAGGTTGGCGCAGGACTGACGGAAGGTTTGAATGCATTCGGGAGTTCTGCAAAGGGAATTCTGAGTGACGTCTGATTCGCAGAGAGGGCAGAATAGTTGTGGCTGCAAAACAGAGACAGCCTCTCTGGTACAATATATTAATACTGTCAGCAGCAGGGGTCAAATCTGTTGAGTCATTTTTTACTGGTATGTTTATCACCTGCTCTAGGCTCAGGTGAGGGCTTTCCTGGTAGCGCAGACGGTAAAGCGTCTGCCTACAATGTGGGAGACCCGGGTTCGATCCCTGGGTCAGGAAGATCCCCTGGTGAAGGAAATGGCAGCCCACTCCAGTATTCTTGCCTGGAGAATCCCATGGACAGAGGAGCCTGGTGGGCTACAGTCTGTGGGGTCACAAAGAGTCGGACTGGACTGATGGACTTCACTTTCACTTTCTTTCTCTTCTAGTCTCAGGTGAGAGGCAGGGCCTTAGTTTACTCAACTATAAAATGAGAGCAATGTTTTTGAGTAGGGATGCTCTTCTCAATTCTGTTTTATTTCCAATTAGTAATAGAAGAAAAACCTTTATCTTGACATAGAACCTTATTGTTTATACCAGTGCACTTCTAGCATGAGATGACCAATGATTGCATGTATGTTTGTGTGTTTCCCTATTTATCAAAGATCAGAGTATGGAGGTGAATCCTATTAATCAGAAAAATAACTAAGAAAGCACAAGTATTATTGCCAGCTTTTGAATTTTTTTTTTTTTCATTTTGGTTTGGAAGGAAAAAAATTTAGTTAATAGAATTTAGTATTCTAGGATGACGAGAGTTGGTGAAGGCACTGGGAAATTGTGGTGGTGGTGTTGATAGCAAGTGAGTAAAATAATCATGAAAATTTAAACAATAATAATAACAACAGTAATGTAGTTAATAGAGAACGCGAGGTTTGTTGAAAGAATTGCAGATAGCAAGAGAAACAGAATGGCTACTGACTCTAATGCTGTGTGTATATCACCCCACCCCCATTTTTCTTTTTTTTTTTCAGATTCACAGTACCTAACCTGCCGAATGCAGAACTGCACAGAGGCCAACAGAAATAAACCTTTCCCAGGCTACATCGACCCAGACTCTCTGATTGTCCAGGATGATTACGTGTTTGTTCAGGTATGAAAGATCCGCTTCCGCTGATTGTCTCAGAGACATTTCCCTTCCCTGCTTCTAATGCAGCCCCTTCACCTGCTTGCCCTCCCTGAAGAACAATAGAGAAAGAAGCAAAGGCATTCTTTTTTTTAACAAAAGGAACATTACCAAGTTGAAGCTTCTATACTAACAGAATAGTAATTCCTTCTATTGCCTGTGAATTTGAAGCTATTGCTTCTTAGTGAAAGAATTCAGAGATAAAGTGATTGGTAAGAAGTGGATGTATTTGGAGAGAAACACAGTCCACAGACAGAGTGTGGGCTATCTCAGAGGGTGAGTGAGAGTTTAGAAGTACGGCACAGTTAGTTTTTACAGCCTGCGTAATTTCATAAGATAATCAGTGGGAGGATTATTCCAATTATTTGGGGTAAGAGGCAGGCATTTCCAGGAATTGGGCCACCACCCACTTTTTGACCTTTCATGGTTGCCCTCGAAACTGTCATGGCACTGGTTGATGTGTCTTTTTGCATGCTAATGTATTACAGCGAGTGCATAACGTGACTCACGGTGCCTTGAAAACAGAATCTTCCCGCCATCTTGGACCCAGTTGGTTCTAATCAGTCTTTGTCATGTCCTATGACGTGTCATTCTTTTAAAGGTTGTGCCCTCTTTCCTCCTGTTTCACTTCCTTGGGGCAGTGTCTGGAGGATATGTCAAAACGGGGTCCTGGGGACATTGCTCTGAATGTCAATGTCTATTGACATTGCATTCATCCTCGTCACATCACCTGCATTTCAAAGAGGCTCCCTTCAGTCGCCAATAGGACTGAGCAGATATGTCAGTCTCTTCCTAGAGCAGTCAGCCAACAAGCCTCCTCTTCAGAACCTGCCTTAAAAATAGAGAGCCAGGCGGTAACAAGCTGTGGGGTGGCTGGAGGTGGTGGGAGGCAGACCCAGTAATCAGCCATTATTGTCAGGCACTGCTGTGATTAGGATCAAGAGAATTTAGATGAGACATTCAGGCGGGTTTTTCACCTCCAGAGAGAGTGGAGAACAATTTGAGAAACTGAGGGTTCAGGAGCAATTAGAAGAGAGAAGGAACAAGTATCCTTTGTTTCTTTTTGCAGTTAATAAAACTTTAAACTTGTTTGGACGAAGCATTTAAAAACTCAGTTGTTGCTTTTCATGTTAAAATTGACAAAGGTACCATTGCTAAATAGTTTATATATATATATATATATATAAAATACACATACATGCAATTTCACTATGATTGAGAATTCTAGACACCACTATATTTACTTGGGCAAGAAATTATAATTTAGAATTTTTGATCCCATATATTGAAAAGAAAATGGTCAAATTCTTTATGTACTTTTAAACTATTTCACAATTACACAAACACACACACACACACACACACACACACACACACTTCCTTTTTTCTTCAGGAAAATGAGTAATGAGAACTCTGATAACTTCAGCATCAAATTATCGAGTGACATTAAAATGGAAAATGGTTACCCATATTGGTTCTATATATAATTCATTTCTCCATCAGTGTCGCTTCCAGGGACCTTTTCTGTTTTCTATTTACAGTGTATAATCCACATATATGACTTACAAATGAAAATCAAGTGTGCCTTTAGAGTTTTATATATATTTTTACCCAGGCCACTATGAATATATAACCCATTGCTAGGACTAGAAGAGAGCTGGCCACATCATGGTGAATATGATAACTTTCCAGTCACATTTTTATGTGTCTGATGAAAATTCACCCAGAGCATTTGTTGACATTCTGAGTATGCAAAGCAACTGACTTCAAACTCCAGGTGTTTATATGAGTTACGAGTGGCAACAGGAATCCAGAGAAACTGAGAGTGAAATGGTGGTTTTCAGAGGCTAGGGAAATGGGGAGATGCTGGTCAAAGGGTATAGATGTCTAGCTATAAGTTCTGGGGATGTAGTATACAGCATGGTGGCTATACTGTATTATATACTTGAAAATTATTAAGAGAATAAATCTGAAATATTATCAACATACACACAGACAGACACACACACATAATCTTAATTAAATGAAAAGATGAAGGTGATTGCTAACCTTATATGTGGTAAACATTTCATAATATATATGCATCAAATCATCATATTGTACACTTTAAACCTGCATATGTTACGTGCCAATAATATCTTATTAAAGGGGGGTTAAGGGAGAGTTTGGCAGTGCACCCCTGACCCCCCACACCTCATGGTGCTCAGCTGAGGGAGACCACACCACTCCTCCCCCCACTCAGACCCACAGGGTTCTTTGGGCTGTGCATCCTGGACAGACCTGGGGCAGTAGCTCACCATTTTCTTCTGGGAGGGAGAGACCGAGAATGATTTAGAACCATGATCCTGGCTGGACCTTCCGTCTATCACATCAGCAGCACTGCTGTGTGTGGGACAGGCGCACAGCCAATGCTGTGGCTGCATGAAACTGGAATTCAGTGCCCGGACTGGGGGCTCCAGTCCTGCCACTGTGTGACCTGGCCCGTTCCCTTTTGGTATGGCACAAGGATCTGTTTGTGTGGTCGCAGTCTTGGGGCTAGGGAGAGGTGGGTTGCTGAGGGCTCTGATCCAATATAGCCTCAGGCTTGTGTCAGTTAAAAGAAAAGTAACCAAAATTCTTTCCTGACTTCTGAGCCACAGGGCAAGTCGAAGAACTGTGTTTCTGTTAAGGGGGTTCAGTCTGGGGCTCTGACCGACTCACGTAGACCGAGTTGTTTCGAAAGGGAGCGCCAGTGCTTTCCGCTTGCCCACAGTAGGCACTCGCCTGTCGGGCTGGCACCTACCCCTTCCGCGCAGAGACTGCTCTGTGACCTGACGCCTTTCACAGCCTTTGTGTTCACCTTGCAGCTGACATCAGGGGGCCGGCCACATTACTACGTGTCCTACCGAAGGAATGCCTTTGCCCAGATGAAGCTCCCCAAGTATGCTTTGCCCAAGGTATGGCCTGAATCACCTTCTCTATTTCTATTCTTTTTCCCAAGGACCCTTTCAGTCTCTTGTAGTTATAATTTTTTTTTTAATCCCCCATCTCCATTTCTCAAATTCACTTCCATTCTTTTTTGCCCATCTCAGTATCTCCCTTTCTGTCTCGGTGGTCCCTCCCTTTCATACCTCTCTTTTCCTCGCTCTTGCTCTGATTCTTTGGAATTCTTACTACAGCTTACTATCAGAGTAAGCTGATAACTGATATGCTTTTGCTTGTCAACTGGTATGTATTGGCTTTTAGCAAAACAGAAACTATGCTTTGGTCACACAGTATATAAGAGCAACAGGTATGATACATATATATTCTGATCTGTTATTATTTACGAAGTGATGCAGCCACTGTATCACAGATAGCAGCACAGCTAATTTTTTAAACTTTCGCCAAAACGTATTCCTTTGAAAACAGAGGCATATAAGAGATTCCCAACAGCTAACATCCCCAGGCTTTCTCTCCAGAAACCCTGCAGAACTGTGTTAATACGGAGCGCCACCTAGTGGAAGTGAGACTTACTCAGGCGCTCAAAGTTGTGGATTTGCGGTCTTGTTGCCACTGTGATGTATTTTAAGTGGCCATAAATTGTTAATACACCGTGCCCTTCTTTCTAGCAACAATCACTGAAATGTGTCTTCATTTTAAAAAAATGTATTGAACTATAGTTTATTTGCAATATTATATTAGCTTCAGTTGTACAACATAGTCAATATTTTTTTCTAGGTTATATACTCCATTTAAAGTTATTACAAAATAATGGCTGTATTTTCTTGTATTGTATAATATACCCTTATTTATTTTATACATAGTAGTTTCTGTCTCTTAATCTCATGCCTTTATCTATCCCCTCTAGCATTCTCTTTCCCCACTGGTAACCACTATTTTGTTCTCTATGTCTGTGAGTCTGCCTCTCTTTTGTTACATACATTTGTTTGTCTTATTTTTTTAGATTCCACATATAAGCTATAACAGAAAATGTGTCTTTCTCTAACTTATTTTATAAGCATAATTCTCTCTTGGTCCACCCTCATCACAAAAGGCAAGATTTCACTCATTTTTATGGCTGAGTAATATTCCATTGTATATTGATACATATAATGGGACATATATGTGTACACACATGCATGTACACACACACACACACATACACGTATTTGGGTGCATTTGCCTTTTTTAATTAGTGTTTTGTTTTCTTTGACTATATACCTAGCAGTGAAATTGGTGGATCATATGGTAGTTCTATTTTTAGTTTTTTGAGGAACTGCCATACTGTTCTTCACAGTGACTGTGCCAATTTACATTCCCACCAACAGTATACTAGGGTTCTCTTTTCTGTGTATCCTTGCTAATCCTTTGTAGACTTTTTGACGATAGCCATTCTGACAGGTGGGTGTGTTGATCATGAAACAAGAGAGGTATATGTGGCTATAAGAAGGGGGGAGTGTAGGTTTAAATGCAGCTCAGCTTTGAAATCTTTGGTTGAACAAGGAGCATCAGTGACTTCTTTTCAATTGTATTTTCATGACTCCTTGCCTTGTGTTTCTGTCCCTGAGTTTGTAATATGCTCTCTTGGACCAGTACCAGCTTCCTGCCCAGGGACCCTGTGATAGATACAGCGCAAGGGCACTGCAGGTCTTCTCTCCCAGGAAAGCCAGTGGCTTCTCCAGGCAGAATCCTCCTTCTTGGCATCACTCTGCCCCTAACCCTAGCGTAGTGAAAGGTGAGCTGTAAACTTCAGCCCATTAGAGATAATAACACACATTAAATTATGCTGTTAACTTCAAAAAACTATTTCCATGTGAGTAGTTACTATTTTCAGCTGCTGAGAGATTAATAACAGTGGTAATTGCCCAGAACTGTATGCCTGTGCCTGTATATGTTTAAATGCTCCTCACTCGTGATTTAGCCTGAACTATTTTACACAAAGACAAACACAACATTGGAGCTGTGCCTTAAATGAGAATTGGGTAAAGTCAGTAAAAGAAACGTTTAGTGTTAAAATTGCCCTTGGTAATCTTTTAGGGAGCTCCATGAGGGAGATGATCATGTTTTCTTGGTAAGTTCAACAGAGCTGGTGGTTGTATTTGTTTTGTTTTGTTTCCCCTGAGCACTGAAATAAGTTTCTGACTTTGATTGACCAACAAATGAAGTAGTTGGCTTGCAAGATTTACACCTTTAAAAACAAGAATACACTCAATGCAGTGAGATGCTTCTGTTCAAAAGGCATGTGGGAATTGGGACCAAATCAGGAAACAGCATATCTGAGTCACTCATCTCATGCTTACTTCCTCTTGGGAAGATATTTTGTGAGTGGAATAAGTTTCAGCTAAACTAAATGCTACTTACTGCAGAATCAAGGCTAAAATATAAGTCTCTGGACTCCCAGAGCAGCATTCCTTGTGTTATACCCTTCTACTCTCAAAATAAATTAATAGATTCTATAACTAAAAGGGAGCAGCACCGCCTCCCCCCCAGATTTTTATACACTGAGTAGCATCCAAAGAAAAAGTCCCATTGATCTAAGTTGTCTCAGAAATGGTAGTTTAAAATCAAAGAAATCACTTTGGTCCTTTGACTGGAGTGTTAGGAAAAGCATACTTTGCATTGCTTTTTCATAGCCATCACACCAATCACTGTGGATGATCACTCCCAGTGGTATCGTGCCAGTCTGGAAAGAGAAGTTTTACTTTGAGCCTGAACCGGCTATCTGTACCCCCCCACCCCACGCCACTGTCTCAGATGAGCGTTTTCCATTACTCAGCCTCATCTGAGGTCTGAGGATAGAATGCAGTGATTAATTTAGCTTGTTCCCAGAAAAATCAGAGCCACTACAGCTAATGAATGTATTATTTGATCCAAGTAGGTGTTTATTATTTAAGGCAAAGAGATGCCTCGTTACAATCCCCTTACACCTTCAAAGAGAAGCCTCAGCTTGGGTGGGGTGATCCATGGCAAAGCTGCATATGTTTCATGACCTGCTATCAAGCCTTTTCCTGCTGCAGCAAGAAAGGAGGAAAGCTCCATGCTCATTGAAAGAACGGAGATAAAAGCCAGAGCTTCCATGCTCAAATTTTCTTTAGTCATCCCCTTCCATTGCATCAGCTCTGAAAAGACTGAGGTTAACCTGAGCTGTATTAAAAAATAATAATAATACAATGGCAAAGATGGTCGGAAAGCAGGGTGGGGAGATTTTAACATTGCTGTTACTATTAAGAGCAGGAGGCCCAGCAGAAAGGGAGAGTTAGTGACCCTTTTCCTCCCTTACCAAGCTTGGAGCTCTTTCTGAGCTACTCAAGTGAGATAAATGAGGCAATACATATGAAAGTGCTTTGAGCATTTTGGAGGACAGATACTCTATAAAAGCAAGGTAATATTATTATTAGTATGGATCTAGTTGTCTGTGTTGGAGAAGATCGATGTGAACTGGGGTGTGGGTGATGAAAAGGCTGCTTGATTCACAGCGAGAGACCCTAATTCCAGACCTAGATCTGTCACTCACCTGCTCTGAAACTTGGGCTGGTTTATCAATTTCTCTGGTTTTCTTCTTCTTCTTCTTCTTCTTTTTTTTACATTTTTTTAAATACAGAGCTTATATTCACAATAATATTTTCTCAAATGTGCTACTCAATAAAATGCCTTTAGAGATGCTTCATGAAAACTTGGTTTTATGATCAAAAGTTTAAAAAAGGAAACAAACTCCATTCCATGCTCCTTGTGTGGAGACTAACAGAAGCTCACCAGTATTTAAAGGTTCTAGGGTGTCCTGTGAGCAAGAAAGCTGTATAATTTGCATTCATCAAAACATTTTACAAAGGGATCCATTAAAAAAGAAAAACAATATTGATGTCTTATGGAATGGACATTGGGAAATGCTCTAAAAGATCTCAGAGTCCACTTCTCTGTCTAAAATTTTGTGTCTCAGTACGAGTTTTCAACATGAAGTGCCATTTGGGGAGAAATAGCATGTTTTCCTGATATAAGTGGATGTAGGCAAGAAAAGGAAAGATGGCGTTTAAATATATCATAGGTTTCAATTAAAATATTTAAGACAATGGCACCTGTCATTTTTAAACAGTCTATTCAATAAAATTAGATTATATTTAGAGAAAGAGATCTGTCTTTGGCCCTTATCTGGTGATGCCCATCTAATCTGTTGATTTTTAATTAATTGATTTTTAATTAAAGGATAATTGCTTTACAATGTCCTGTTGGTTTCTGCCATACATAGTTCTGTGAATAGTTCTCTGAATGGCTTAAACACTTAAAAGCATCCATGTTTTCTCTTCCACATCTACCAAGGACAAGTTTAAGTGGGCTGGGATAATATAAATGATTTACTCTGGCCCCTAAGATTGTTTAATGCATCGTCTATTTGTGGCCCGGACCTTGGAGGTTCATGAGGGCACTGATTCACTCCAAAGACACAGAGGTGGGAATTAGTTATGTGATGTTTGGGTTAGTGCTGAAATACTTTAGCTTGAACTCAGGGATGATGCTCCACCCCACTGACAAGAAAGGAAACATGAGTTGGGAGTATTTGTTTAAGGGTTCTAAATGCTAGGGTAAGGATGTTGATATTTGTCTTGTAGGAAATGGGGAACCATTGGCCCTCCATGGATGAATGACCCTTGGGCTAATTTCCACAGTTAATTGCTTCCATTAGGGGAAAAAAAAAACAACATGTGGATGAACCACTTCTTTATTAAGTGTGTTAGTGTATATGTAATATATATAAATATAATATTTCAATACCCTAATATTTGCAATGAACAGAAAGGCCAAATCAATCTGGCTTAATCAACAAAGGAGATTTAGGGTTTGTGTAACTAAAAATAGCTAGCATGTATGGTTCCGGGGCACTGTTTGTTAAATGCTTAATACTTACTAACTGATTTAATCCTTTCAGCTCCATGAAGGACATACTATTATCTCTAGTTTGCAGGTAGAAATTCTGAAGCACAAAGTTCTGTTCACACAGCTAAATTTCTGAGCTAGGATTTGAACTTAGCTTTATTTAAAGACCAATCTTTCAATCATTTTGCTTTACTGTCCTCTCTAAAAAGTTCACACATGGCCAGACTTCTTAGGTATCCACATTCAGAGACTCCAAGGGTGTCACAGAATTTGAACCATCTCTCTTTACCTTTTGAACCTACTTTTTTTTTTTTCTGGATTGGCTTATCCTCTACCTGCAAGATATGTCTCAAACAGATCTAGATTTTATTTTTTATTCTGATTGCTTGCAAACTAACAGTAAAATATAATTTCTCTTTCTCTGTAGTAATTCACAGTCATTCTAGAATCATGTCTTACTGAGTTTGCTTGGGTGGAATGTCCATTGCCAATCCAATCAGTGTTCCCTGAATGCTAGACCTGCAAGATCACTTCTGGTGCTGAGGTTGGGAGAAAGTAGCAAAGACGGAGCATAGAGGGAAATTTGTCTGAGAGGTATGAGAATGTTTTTCAAAGAATATCAAGCTACCGTTGTCAGAAGAAATGTACATAAGAAAAATAAAATGTACATAAGTAAAGCGTACATTGGACAGCTTTTATACCAAACCTCACTTTGCATTATCAGCCACCTTGGATCCATGGGCAGGATTCATTGGTGGGCTCCTGACTCTGGATTGTTTCTATAAAATTGTAATCAGACTCTAGAGTGTGGCAGTAAGGTCTGAGAAGGGCTCAGGAACACGAAACCCTTTGAGTAAGGACATCTGCCTTCTAGAATCACGTGAGTTCACTAAGATCAACTTGAAAGAGGAATGAGAGACTCATTCCTCTGTGTCTAAAGCAGACCTGAAGCTGAATTGCTGACTGACGGATTGAGAGAATACGGGCAGAGGTTGCAATGAGAAATTTAGAAGTTAGGTAGAATTGGAGTTGTCAAGCAAGACTGACAGATCTCCTGAAGCCTTTCAAGGAGAATGGATGATTCCTCTTGGAGAATCTGAGCCCTGAGCTACACAAAGGCCAAGGATCTTTCAGTCTGTTCTTCTGCCTTTAGGCTTATATGTAATTCTGTTTTTGTTTTATTTTGATTTTTGGTTTTTAAAGTGATACCAATGTGCACCACCTTGGATGAAGGGGGAAAGGTTGCTGAGGGCAATGAGCTGGCATCCTTGAGGGAGACGGCAGGCCTTGGTCTGAGACAGCAAGCACTGGTCTGTGTCAGTCTCCTCCTGAACACCTACTCCTCTGGGGTCAGAAGTTGGGAAGAAAGGATTCAGAATCCCCACCTCAGGGGATTCTGCTCACTGCCTCTCATTACCTCTGCCTTGTTTCTATCTTCCAGGACAAGCAGAGTCTGAAAACATCATCAATTATGCAGAGTGTTTTTTCCCTCCTTTATTTAAGGTTTCCTGATGAACTTCTCAGGGTACAGGTTTAGATAAGCTAAGACCTAGAATGCTCATTAACCTGAAGGTTAGTACTCTGGGGTCTCAGGTAAACATTTTTCCTCTGGGACTTCTAGGGCTTGCTGAGCCTTAGGAAAGTGTTTCTCAAACTTGGATATATATATATTATCCATCCATGGATCTTATTAAAATACAGGTTTCTATTTGACAGGTGAGGCCTGAGGTTCTGTTTGTCTAACGGTCTTACCGGTGATGGTCAAACTGCTGCTCCATGGACCACAATGAGAGATGCCAAGCTTGTCTGTTTTCTCTCTGTCTCTCGTTCTGTCCTGTATGTGCCTTCTGAGCAGGTACTCTGTGTTTTGCACATTTATCAGGATGCCTGCTTCTCCAAAGTCATACATATTTGAGAAATTATCCTTCAACTTATCTAATGAGGCAATTAAATTGTAACTGAGCTCCCAAGCATCTCTCTGTCTTATTTTCTGATGACCTTACCTTGTAAGTGACAAAGGAAATATGTGACTAACGCTCAGCTAATTATTATTTCACAGGTACACAAAAGGAAAACCCTATCCTCCCTCACACTACCTACGTGCCTGCCCTGGTCTTCATCATCTTCACATTCTGTGGACACATGCCAGGGGCACGTATAAAGTGTTCTTCCTCTCCCCTTCCCGGTGTCTTTCCTCAGGACATGCATGTCATCAGCACCGATGAGAACCAGGTGTTCGCAGCGGTCCAGGAGTGGAACCAGAACGACACGTACAACCTGTACATCTCAGACACACGTGGAGTCTACTTCACCCTGGCCTTAGAGAACGTCCAGAGCAGCAGAGGGCCTGAAGGCAACGTCATGATTGACCTCTATGAGGTATGTCACAAGGCCTGTGTGTCTTAAGCCACTGCGGTGCTTTGACCGGCTGTCAAATGCCACGGGTTGGCCCTTCCCTCAGTCATTTTAATTACTAGCCCCTTATGTGGCCTCAGTCTGTTTGGGAGAGGGAGGGGATTGCATAACATTTATATTGGTTAATTTATAATTCACAAGACATCTCTGGGAAAGATTCTTTGTTGACCAAGTCCAGAGGACTTGGAAAGTGTCTGGGGAAGCAGTCAGGTAATTAAAAGGTTTGAATAAGAGTGGGCCTAGTATGANGTTAATTTATAATTCACAAGACATCTCTGGGAAAGATTCTTTGTTGACCAAGTCCAGAGGACTTGGAAAGTGTCTGGGGAAGCAGTCAGGTAATTAAAAGGTTTGAATAAGAGTGGGCCTAGTATGAAGTTTGAAAATAGTTTTAAAGGACTAATAGATATCAGGGCTGGAGCAAAGTGACCGGCAGTTCTCTCTTATATGTCTCTAAAGAAAGAACTAAGGGAACGTCTTTGCATTGCATCAGAACACACTCCCTTGACAAATGCTTTACCTATGTAATTCATGCAGAATATTGAGCAGAGTTCTCTGTGCTGTGCAGTAGATCCTTGTTTGTTACCTATTTTAAATAAAGCAGTGTGTACCTGTCAATCCCAAACTCCTGATCCATCCTTCATAAATGTGTAACTGAATCTTTTTGCTGTACATGTGAAATTAACACAACATTGTTAATCAACTATGCTTCAATATAAAATAAAAATTGAAAATTATTGTAGCTAAATATTGGGGGGAAGAAAGAAGACACTCACTTGGACTTGAAGACCTTTCTTGACTACATAACCTCTATAGGCTGATTGTCGTCTTCTCAGGGGTCCAATGTATGAGATAAGATTCCTATACCTCAGTAAAGCTATTTTTTAAAATCAGATGAAAACTACAAAAACAGTAAAAAGGCCAGTGGTTACCAGGAGTTAGGGAGGAGAGAGGGATAAATAAGAAGAACACAGAAGATTTTCAAGGTTGTGAAACTATTCTGTATGATACTGTAAGTGGCTATATGTCACCATACAATTGTCAAAATCCACTGAATGTACAGTACCAAGTATGAACTATGGACTTTGGGTGATAATGATGTGTCATTATAGGTTTAAAAAAAAAAGATTCCTATGTCTTTCTTTTCCTACACGGGGCTGAGGAGGAGAAACCAAAAAGCAGAGTTTACCATATTTCCTTAAGGGAACTCTGACCCTTTTTTCTAAGAAGGATCAGGTTCAAAATAAAGTCACGTGTTGGCTCAGTTAGCTTTCATGACAAACACCAACACTTTACTGGCTGTTTAAAGGAGATTCAGGTAAAAAATGGATGGATTTTATCCATTTGCCAGTCTTGCGCTGTGAAGGATTCATAGTGGGTTATAATGAACCATTACAAAACATATTTGGAATTTGGGAAGTGCAAACATCTACTTATATGCTATTGAAAAATAGTTATAAAACTGATTTAAATATGTCCTGTCACAATACTGCCATTTGGTTGAGGATAAGCTCAAAGAATATAAGTTGTTTGTGTGATGAGTAGAAAGGGACTCATATCCAGTTATGTCAAAGAAAGAAACCAATTTCACTTAAGAAACTTAAACCTATCATTGGAATTCTTTTAATGCTCTATATATTCCTTCATCTTTAGGTATTTGGGGGAATTTTATTCTAGTATCTGAACTTCTCTGTATGTATAAAGGCATGTTAGCAAACTGTAAGCACAACTCTGAGCTCAAGTATTTGTAATGGAAATTACAGTAGACTAACACAGGACATAGTTTGTGTGTATATATTTAGGAAAATACCCTGCAAACTTTTTATGCAGTCACAAATTTCTTCCACTTCATTTCCTGCCCATGTTCCAGATAAATATAGTATCATATATCTCAGCCTCAAACTGAACATGTATTCTGGAAAACATTTACATATTCTAGTGATTTACTTTCAAATTCATGTTGGATAAAATTGTGATTTAGGGTGTAAATTTTGGAGTCAAGCAGGCTGGGTGTAAATCCTGGCCATGCCACATATATATCTCCGTGAGATAAATCCAACAATTTTTGAACCTTAGTCTCCTTGTTTAAAATAAGGGGATAAAGGTAATATCTCCTTGATAGGATTTCTTTGAGGATGAAATAAGCTAATCTTCTTAAAGTACTGTGAACAGTGCCTGAAATATAGCAATACTCAACAGATTATAGATAGTATAATAAATATTACATTCCAATGAGTTTAAGTCCGAAAACAATGTTCTAGTCTTATAATCTTAAAACCAACCCACATTATTTAAATGCCCAATGTACTTCCACTGTCCAGGATCTCTACTTCCTCCTGTATTGCAGTTAGCAAGGCCACATGCCATCCTTTATCACCAAAGTTGTCTTATGCCGTGCATGCATGCTCAGTCATGTCTTGACTCTTCTCAGAGTGTGTGACCCCATAGACTATAGTCCTCCAGGCTCCTCTGTCCGTGGGATTTCCCAGATAAGAGTGGGGATCTTCCCAACCAGGGATTGAACCCGGGTCTCCTGCATTGCAGGCAGATTCTTTACCATCTGAACCTTTTCTTATAAACAAATGTAAATTGCCACATTTCAGTCCTCTTTTGTAAATGTCATATAAACATTTAAACTTTATGTGTGTTTTGTTGAAATATCACACGTTTTCTTGCTTTGATCCAGTGTTTACAGTGGAAATATCTTGCTTTGAGAGTGTGAAATCTACTCAACTGTCCCACAGTAAGCAGACAGTTGGGCTCTCTGGCCTCGGATCTGTCCCTGCTCTCTTGAAAACATTTTCTGATTTTCAGGTGGCGTTTTTCCTTCCTGATGACCTTCTCCCTCTTTTTAAATCCATGTGGAATAGTTTCTCTGGTTAATTTTATTTTCTGCCAAAATGGAGAACATTTTAATTAGTCCCTTGATGATGGAAACGATGACAGATTTGAACAAGAATGACTTTGTCATGTCCTGTTATTTGCAACTGTTTCCATGAATGGTTTTCTGAAATCAAAAATTACTAACAGGCAGGGACTGAGAAGAGGAACCAGAGGGACTCTGACCACGGCCAGCCATTTTTTGGTAACCTTTATGTTTTTCCTTTGCATCTCTCCTTTCGGTTGGTTGACTGTCTGTAGGGAAGCTGCTGGCTCTTATTATCCTCACTTTGAACGGTGGTGGGACTACATTATGTAAAGGTGTTCTGCATCCTGGGCCTAGGGGAAGAAGAGGCTTTGTTTTATTAACCTGGCAGTTTGCAGCAACTTGATCTGAAATTGATGTGATCAGAACAGTAATGCCGTATAGGCTGATTACCTAGATAGAAAGAATATTGGCTGACACGGAGCCTGGCACAAGTGTTCCTTAAAGCTGATTGTTCTGCCTAGCAGGAAGCTGAAAGTCATCCAGCATGAATTTCCCAGTAGAATGGCAATGAATGATGAGTGGTTAGAGATAAATGAGAGGTAAGAAAATCCATAAATAAATTAATAAGGAGAAGAGATGAGCAATATACCAGGTGGGGGTGACAGAGATAGAATATATAGAATGCACGTCTGCTCACATTTGAGGGGTGACAGAGGAAGATGACATGCATTCTTGGCTTCTACATGCTGATCACCTGCTGTTCTCATGTGCCCTTTAAATTATGTTAGCAGAGGTGAACTGTGTAATATGACTGTATGATGAGTCTGTGTATCAGGCATAGTATTGTTGGTGAGCCTGTGTGGGAAATGCAAAGGGCGGCACAGTTTTCATTAAAAATAATCACTTTATTCACTCTTTCCTTGGAACCTTACAACAAATGCAGTTCTCTCTATACCAGAACCATGTGTATGTATGTGTTGAGATAGGGAAATGTTGGGGACAAAGTGTTGGGGCCCTATCTTACATGGTTTAGTTATTGAAATACCAGAAATTCCCCTCAATATGAGGTGACCATTGCCATGGACACCATTCATGAAGAGTCAGGATATGAGCCAGGAAAGCTGGCCTCAGAGCAAAAATGCTGGGTAGTGATTTTTGTTGATGAAAGATCACAGTAAGTAGGCAATATTTGAGATACCATTTAGATACTTTATAAAGAATCTTTTAAATTATCTCATTCAGTCTATATATTAACTTTATGACACAGGGACTGTAATCATCACTCTTGTTTATAAGTAAATGGAGGCAGAGAAAATGCAATCATTTTTTATAAGATTACAAAGCTAATAAGTGTCAGGATTAGGATCTGCATTCTAGAGTGTGCAGTCTTTTAACTGGAAACTGTTGTGTGTTTCTAGAAAGATCAGCATTCAGGCTTCTATTTGATTGTGGCCAAGTAGTAACCATAAGATAGAAGCCCATTAGAGAGCAGCATAAATCATATTAGACTATACCTACCTACAGAAAAGATCAGACAGGAAGAAGAAAATGGTCTGGGAAAGAGCCAACATAAACAGAATCAGCAGATGATGGCTTTGGACCTGTTCACCAACTAAGTCCTGAGCCTGCAGTTTAAACACGTTCAGCCTGTGTTATCCTGAAACTCCCAATTTTGCCTGGTAGATGTGTTCATGCAAGAGAATCCTAGAAACAAGTGTCCTAAAATTCTGTCATTCCTGAGGAACACAAATTCTCCAGTGGCGTCATGTGGAGCAGGTCACAGAAGACAGCAGGCCTGATGGTGGCCGGAGCAAAAGAGCTGTGATGTGTGTGTCTGAGACATGTGGTTTCTAGTGTATCCATCTGGAGTGGATGATGATACAGAGTCTGACAGCTTTGGGCAATATCCTCCCTCCTCTGGGAAGGGGATATTAATTAATGATGATGACGGGCCCTTTGGTTTAATGGACAATGACAGTTCACCCCAGTCAATCAGAAGGGGTTGTGTTGAGAATGAAGCCACCTGGCTACAAATTCAGAATGCACAGAACGTATGCATGCATGAGTGAGGCACGGTGGGGGGTATGACAGACAT